AAAAATGTTACTCCTGGGGCTTCCCTGGTGGCGTGGTGATTGAGGGTCCGCCTGTCAATGCAGGGGACACAGGTTCGAGTCCTGGTCCGGGAAGATCCCACATGCCGCAGAGCAACTAAGCCCGTGCTCCACAACTACTGAGCCTGCGCACATAGAGCTCGCACACCGCAAGGAAGAGCAGCTCCTGCTCACCGCAGCTAGAGAAAGTCTGTGTGCAGCAACAAAGACCCAACGCGGCCAAAAATAAATTTAAAAAAAATTATGAATTCAAATTTATCCAAAAAAAAAAAAAGTCACTCCTACTCTCAGTCCATGTCAGGGGAGCCGGGGCAGAGGGGAGGTGGGCAGCCGGCACCCTCCTTCAGCCGGGACCCAGCTCTTGTCACCGTCACCTGCAGCGGGTGAGAACCGAGACCGCCTGGAAGGGTGCCGTGCACCCTCAGCCCCAGTCTCCCTGCCCAGGCACGACACCCACTGAGAGCAGTACCGGGCGAGGCGACCGGACCAGGCCCTGAGGTGAGAAGGGGTCAGCCTTGGGTGCCACCAGACCTGCCGCCCCGCACGGGCTGAGGGAGCGGACGCAGGACTCGGCGGCCGCAGATGGGGCAGCCGACCGGGAAGCCTCTTCCTTCCCAACTTCCTGAGGAGTCACTACTGAACTGGCTTATTGGTGCTGGGCATTCAAATGGCCATCAACAGTGGACACAGTCACCTCTGGACTTTTCCTTCTTTTCCGACTCCAGTCCTCACGCTCTCTTTGCTTTCAGTGCCACCAAGAAGACTGCGGAGCCCTCCCGCTCTCAGCCTTATGGGTCTGCACGCCTCACGCCCCGCCAGCCCCGGGTCAGGCGTCCCTCTTCCTGCCCCAGCCCCCTATCGAGCCCTAACGACCCCCGACACATGCCTCCCGGCTGAGCGCGGTGGCCTCTCAGGCCTCTCTGAAGGGTCTCTCATTTTATTTTTTAATTTTTTAAAAAACTTTTTGGCAGATTGATTGATTAAGATTGATTTCTGCGTTGGGTCTTTGTTGCTGTGCACGGGCTTTCTCTAGTTGTGGTGCACAGCTTCTCACTGCAATGGCTTCTCTTGTTGCGGAGCACGGGCTCTATGCGTGCACACTCGGTAGTTGTGGCTCGTGGGCTCTAGGCGCAGGCTCAGTAGTTGTGGTGCCCGGGCTTAGTTGCCCCGTGGCATGTGCGATCTTCCCAGGCCAAGATTCAAACCCGTGTCCCCTGCATTGGCAGGTGGATTCTTAACCACTGCGTCACCAGAGAAGCCCAGATCTCTCATTTTAAACAGTGTCATCAACACTTCCTTCCACTTTCTCACTTCAGACCCCTGAAGCGGCCCACCTTGTCAAATGGGTTCACAAAGGGGAAAAATATTAGAGAAACAGTAAGAAAAGTGAACTGAAACACTGGAGATGAGTTACACGTGTTCAAGATAGAAAGATATCAACTTCCCAGCCAGAAGTGCATGAAGGAGTTATTCAAATCTCTTCTGAAAACCTGGGTCAACGTTTTCAGTGATGTTGACTTATGCAACCGAGCTCACAGGGCCTCTTGAGAGAAAGGACCACTTCTTAAAGCTGAGACCTTTCCCCAGCGGGGGAGAGCCATGTGGCCACTGGGAGGTCATCGAGGAGCCCAGGCCTGCCTGCTGTGGGACAGACACACATGGGGCAGGGGCAGCAGTGGGGTTCAGGTGTGAGGTCAGGGCAGAAGCTGGAGTCAGAACCGCAGAGCAAGGTGGACGTGTCACCCTGTGACCTCAGGGATGGAGCTAATGTCCTGCAAGGAGACCCCAACCTTCCTTCCCAGTCCACTCTCTCCTTTGAGGGAGGTGGTGGGCCACCACACCTTCCTTGACCACAGCCTCTGGGAGAAGGTCCTTGGAACCTGTGTGCTCCTGGGAACCAGAGGACAGAAAGAGGGACATGAACAGGATGGCCTGCCAAGAAGCAACTGCAGAAACGTAACCTGGGACCTGCTGGAGCCGAAGGTACAATGAAAGTCGCCAGGGATGTGCAGGTTACCACATAGAGGGATGTGTCCTAGGCAAAAAAAAAAAAAGTCACTCCTACTCTCAGTCCATGTCAGGGGAGCCGGGGCAGAGGGGAGGTGGGCAGCCGGCACCCTCCTTCAGCCGGGACCCAGCTCTTGTCACCGTCACCTGCAGCGGGTGAGAACCGAGACCGCCTGGAAGGGTGCCGTGCACCCTCAGCCCCAGTCTCCCTGCCCAGGCACGACACCCACTGAGAGCAGTACCGGGCGAGGCGACCGGACCAGGCCCTGAGGTGAGAAGGGGTCAGCCTTGGGTGCCACCAGACCTGCCGCCCCGCACGGGCTGAGGGAGCGGACGCAGGACTCGGCGGCCGCAGATGGGGCAGCCGACCGGGAAGCCTCTTCCTTCCCAACTTCCTGAGGAGTCACTACTGAACTGGCTTATTGGTGCTGGGCATTCAAATGGCCATCAACAGTGGACACAGTCACCTCTGGACTTTTCCTTCTTTTCCGACTCCAGTCCTCACGCTCTCTTTGCTTTCAGTGCCACCAAGAAGACTGCGGAGCCCTCCCGCTCTCAGCCTTATGGGTCTGCACGCCTCACGCCCCGCCAGCCCCGGGTCAGGCGTCCCTCTTCCTGCCCCAGCCCCCTATCGAGCCCTAACGACCCCCGACACATGCCTCCCGGCTGAGCGCGGTGGCCTCTCAGGCCTCTCTGAAGGGTCTCTCATTTTATTTTTTAATTTTTTAAAAAACTTTTTGGCAGATTGATTGATTAAGATTGATTTCTGCGTTGGGTCTTTGTTGCTGTGCACGGGCTTTCTCTAGTTGTGGTGCACAGCTTCTCACTGCAATGGCTTCTCTTGTTGCGGAGCACGGGCTCTATGCGTGCACACTCGGTAGTTGTGGCTCGTGGGCTCTAGGCGCAGGCTCAGTAGTTGTGGTGCCCGGGCTTAGTTGCCCCGTGGCATGTGCGATCTTCCCAGGCCAAGATTCAAACCCGTGTCCCCTGCATTGGCAGGTGGATTCTTAACCACTGCGTCACCAGAGAAGCCCAGATCTCTCATTTTAAACAGTGTCATCAACACTTCCTTCCACTTTCTCACTTCAGACCCCTGAAGCGGCCCACCTTGTCAAATGGGTTCACAAAGGGGAAAAATATTAGAGAAACAGTAAGAAAAGTGAACTGAAACACTGGAGATGAGTTACACGTGTTCAAGATAGAAAGATATCAACTTCCCAGCCAGAAGTGCATGAAGGAGTTATTCAAATCTCTTCTGAAAACCTGGGTCAACGTTTTCAGTGATGTTGACTTATGCAACCGAGCTCACAGGGCCTCTTGAGAGAAAGGACCACTTCTTAAAGCTGAGACCTTTCCCCAGCGGGGGAGAGCCATGTGGCCACTGGGAGGTCATCGAGGAGCCCAGGCCTGCCTGCTGTGGGACAGACACACATGGGGCAGGGGCAGCAGTGGGGTTCAGGTGTGAGGTCAGGGCAGAAGCTGGAGTCAGAACCGCAGAGCAAGGTGGACGTGTCACCCTGTGACCTCAGGGATGGAGCTAATGTCCTGCAAGGAGACCCCAACCTTCCTTCCCAGTCCACTCTCTCCTTTGAGGGAGATGGTGGGCCACCACACCTTCCTTGACCACAGCCTCTGGGAGAAGGTCCTTGGAACCTGTGTGCTCCTGGGAACCAGAGGACAGAAAGAGGGACATGAACAGGATGGCCTGCCAAGAAGCAACTGCAGAAACGTAACCTGGGACCTGCTGGAGCCGAAGGTACAATGAAAGTCGCCAGGGATGTGCAGGTTACCACATAGAGGGATGTGTCCTAGGCACCGACTCCCCGTCTCTCTGCTTCGCCCTGACCACTGCTCACCTGCTAGAGCAGAGCGGCACCAGGCCACCCCCATACCTTCCTGGAGGCGGTGGCACTGGGACTTGAGAGCCAGGAAGAGTGACTACCACAGGGACGTGTGTCCAGCTGCTGAGACGCTTTCCCATCTCCTGGAAGGACGTCCCTCTAGCTCAGCAATGCATTCAGTCAAGGGCACCCAGAAGGTTCTCGGCTGGGATCCTGCCCAAAGACCTGCCCGGGAGGCATGGGCAGCAGAGCTCACTGTGGGCAACAGCCCCGGAATGAGTCCGCATCTTTTCACTGAATATACTAAGTACACAACGGAGTATGTCACCAAAGTAATTTATCTTTATAAGAACATAGCTTAATTTTTGAATGAAATAATCTATTTATCCAATAATTATATTCCAAAGATTTTTCAACAGGGCTTGAATAGATGACTATATTACTGCTTAGCTATCCCATTTTTGGTTTTATGGTTTCTGATGCTTTAACTAGGAAATCAGAAAGATCAATCTACTAGAAAATCATATTTTCTTGATATTCAAGTTAAGGTTTATGGTACAGAGTTTCTTAGTTTTTACTTGTTAAAAATCAACTGGGGAAAATTTTTATCTGAAAATTCCAAATTCCTCTTAAGGAAGTTCTGAAATGATGAATTAAAAGGGGAAAAAACTACCATTTGACTTTTTACAGTAAGAATGTAACATGCAGCCTCTGCACCGCCACCAGAGCACCTGACCCTTGATCTTCCTTCACTCACAAAACATCCAACAGCAAAAACAAATATCATCATTCAATTTTCCACAAGAGATGCAACCTAAGTTATTTCATCATTACAAAGTTGATATACAATCTCAGAAATTTTGAAAAAATTGGAAAATCAGAAAAAAAGTCCTACTTAACAAGAGAAGCACTTTCACATTTGGATGTATTAACACCAGACTTCTCCTAACTTGCTAACAAATGGGGCTGCGATCACATTCCAGCCTTAAGTCTCCTCCCAGCCTGAGCTTTTCCTGCTGTGGATCTTACAGGCATCTCTGACTGCAGACCACACAGTAGTGAGACGCTCAGCCCCGTTAAAGTTCAGATGGAGTCACGACCCTGGAAGACCCCGAAGGCTGTCAGCCGTCTTACCTCCTATGTCTTCGCCGCTGGAGGAGCTCTCAGGACTCGAGCAGCTGGGGGCCTCCGGCGGAGGGGGGACCCACGCCTCAGGTGGCAGGCTCACGGTGTAAAGCCGTCGTGCAGGCTGGACCCGAGTGTCACCACCTGCAGGAAGAGGCAGGGACAGATGCCATCAGACGTCTACTTGCCGAGCAGCTTCTCCAACCTCGTTCACTGAAGATGGGTAGCCAGAGCCGTAAATACTGATGTCAGTCAGCCAAGCATTTTGCCAGCAGAGCCACTAAGCTCTACACGCAGACAGGGACAAGGGGTGAGCTATGATTATTTAATAAATTCACATTAAGTTACTTATTATGTAAACTTCGGGGGTTTTATAATATGGTATAAAAACATAACTAATTCATGAATAAGAAGCAGAAAATAAAAAGACTCCACGTAACACACCCCTCATGACCACAACACGAATCTCAACATTTTGGTGCGTAACCTTCTGGACCTTTTCCTCTCTATATGCTAAACAACATGTATGCAGTGTGTGTGTCTGTTCACACCCACACACAGACACACACAGGTCTTAATGGGATCACGCCACACACAGACACACACACGTCTTAATGGGATCACTATACACGTATATATTATATGTATAATGTCATTCAAAAGTGAATATGATAAAATATTAAGATACATTTAAACTTACATACTCTTAAAGGCTACATGATATTCCATGTTATTGGCAAATTTAACTATAATTTAACCAGTGTCCTAAATTTTGCATATGGAGGTTGATTCTAAATTTTCACTATTACAAGCAGCTGCTATGACCATCCTGGCTGTACATAACTTTGCACCACTGACCACAGGGTTCCTCCAAACAAATTCCTGTAAGTGAACCTGCTGAGCTGCACCGTCCGGAGAGACAGCTTCCGGTGCTGCTGCCATGCTCTCAACACTGGGCAGGATCAACGCTCTAATCTTCATGTTCTCATTCAAGATATGGCAAAGTAACCTTTATCCAACATAAGTGGATATCCCAATTAGTCTTTCTCAGAAAAATGAATATTTTACTTTAAAAACAACGACAAGGACTGAGCAAAATCACTAATGCACATATAACAGAACGTGTGGTTGAGAGACATTTAAACTGTAAAAGCTTTGGAACATTTTCAAATTCTTCTGCCATCAATATACTTCACTTTTGTGAAGCTAAGGGGCAAGAATGTAGTTCTTATGTTAATCTGATCCATCCAGTTGATTAACGACTGTGTCGTTACTGCCAGGATCAAGGGCAGAGCAGGGACGTGCTTCCAGGCAGACCATCCCCTGTCGGGTGACATCAACATTTGATCATTTTTCACAGAATACTTCTGGGAGCTTTTAATCAGCTAACAGAACTTGGAAACACTACTGCTCACTTAAGTATCAGGATGAATACAGGCGGCACCGTGGACCTGAGGCAGGATATGACTCCTGTGATGAAGGGCAAGGATGCACCTGAGAGCAGAGCTCTTCCCGATGCTCCCACGCCGAGCACACACTCATGTGAGGCCAAGCCTGCGGGCTGAGGAAGGCGATCTGCTGTCTGTGTCAGGGTGGCCAGGCGCAGAGCGCAGCTTCCCGGCCTGGGTTTCCCTTGTCTCTTCTGGTAGAAGACGGCTCATCGCTGCACGGCAGTCAGATGTTGTGTTTCACTGCTCAGGGCTCGGGGCTCAGCAGGGCCACAGCATCCCCTCGCCCACACATCGGGCCCGCAGGGTGAGGCTTGGGGATCTGGACGAGGCATGTCAGGACCCCCTTCACTGCTGACAGAGGCCACCGTCTCCCTAGGAACACCGGGTTGGCCGCGAGGCTTCAGAGAGGCGACGTAATCAGCTCTCCTCTCAATGGTCGGCTGGCTGAGATCCGAGGTTCATAATTCTCACCCTTTCTGGCTCTGGGTCTGATTTGCAGGACACCCACTTGAGCTTGATTTCATGCCTAACCTCTGACTCCCCCTGCACTGTGCCGGTCCACATGGCCCCCTGCCCACAAGCAGACACGCGCGCCCTCCACCAGGGCACCGCCACCAAGCCACCCTTGGGACGGCCGCAGCCTTCACGATCGGTGTGTTTGTGTCATGGAGCTCGGGGCACAATGCTGTTTTTTATAATTCTTCTGGGATTACCTGGCTCTTTAAAATATATACAGATATAAAGCAGTAACAAAAAATAAGGGTCCAACATGGGCTCTTGGGTGATGGAAATTCATCAAAATGCATACACACGGATTGTTGTGGCCATTTACAGATCATGCCCTCATCTTTAAGAACAAATGGAATCACCAATGCCCTTTTGAAACTAACAAACAAACAAAAAGACGCACTTTTGTAAAGTGAACAAATAGTTATCAGAATCACCATGCTGTGTCCTAACTGTACAAAGAACATTTTCTCAACCTCATCCAAGAACTGACTGACAAAGGCCCCTTTCCTCATTTGGCTGCTTCTTCCAACACTGAAAAGACTTGGGCACACCTGCAGCTCTGCTTATCGCCAAACTGTGTCCTCCACAAGCATCAAGCCTTCAAGCGAATTCTCAGATGACCTTTACAGAATGTTTCATATGACCTGTACACAACTTGTATTTGTCTATTTGATTGTGATTTCATTGTTTTGCCTTTAGCCAAGATTTCTCTTTTTCTAGCTGCAGATGAATTGTTTTTTCTTCAAAATTCCCAAGACATATTGCTTCAAAAGATATGTTGCTCTTTCAGAATTAAAAAACACTCAAGAAACTAGGGCTAGAGGGAACTTCAAATGACAAAGAGCATGCATGAAAAACCCACAGCTGACACTACACTCAATAGAGAAAGCATGAAAAACACACGGCTGACATTATACTCCATTGAGAAAGCCTGGCTGCTTCCCTCTAAGATTAGGAATGATTACGATTCACATTCTTGCCACTTCATTTCAACATTATACTGAAAGTACTAGACAAGGCAATTAGTCAAGAAAGAAAGGAAGTAAAAGGCATCCAGATTGAACAGGAAGAAGTAAAATATCTCTTCCCACAGATAAGATCTTGTATATAGAAAACCCTGAAAAATCCACATACACAAAAAAACTGTTAGAGCTATTAAGTTTGGCAAAGTTGTAGGATACAAGATCAACATACAAAAATCTATATTTCCATATTTAAGAAACCACTGCCTAATGCAAAGTCAAAGGATTTATTAGTATTTCCATACACTAGCAATTAATAATCCAAAAAGAAAACAATTCCATTTACAATAGTATCAAAAATAAAATACTTTGGAATAAACTTTTTTTAAGTATAAAATTTATAATGAAAACTACAAAGCATTGTTAAAAGAAATTAAAAATGACTTAAATGGAAAGCTAGACGAAATTCATGGATTGAACAACTTAATATTGTTAAGATGGCACTAATCCCCAGAATGTTCTGCAAATTCAGTGTAATTTGTATCAAAATTCCAACTTTCCTTTTTTTTTTTTCTTCCAGAAATGGACAAGCTGATCCTAAAATTCATATGGAATTGTGAGGGACCCTGAATAGCTAAAACAATCTTGAAAAACAACGAAGTTGGAAGACTCTTAACTCTGATTTCAAAACTTATTACAAAGCTACTAAAACAGTGTGGTACTGGCATAATGACAGACATAGAGACCAATGGAACAGAATTGAGAGCCCAGAAATAAACCCAAACATCTATGGCCAATTGATTTTTTTGTTTTTGTTTTTGTTTTTGCTTTTGTTTTTCAGTACACGGGCCTCTCACTGTTGTGGCCTCTCCCGTTGCGGAGCACAGGCTCCGGACGCGCAGGCTCAGCGGCCATGGCTCATGGGCCCAGCCGCTCTGCGGAATGTGGGATCTTCCCGGACCAGGACACGAACCCGTGTCCCCTGCATCGGCAGGCGGACTCTCAACCACTGCTCCACCAGGGAAGCCCTGGCCAATTGATTTTTGACAAGGGTGCCAAGTGGGGAAAGGACAGTCTCTGCAACAAGTGGTGCTGGGATGACTGGATATCCAGACAAAAGAATGAATCTGGAACCCTACCTCACACCATATTCAAACATTAACTCAAAATGGATAAATTACTTAAATGTAAGAGCTAAAACTGTAAAACTCAGAAGAAACCTTAGATGTAAAATTTGTGACCTTGGATTTGGCAACAGTTTTTTTTTTTTTTTTTCCTTGCGTTATGCGGGCCTCTCACTGTTGTGGCCTCTCCCATTTGCGGAGCACAGGCTCCAGACGCGCAGGCCCAGCGGCCATGGCTCACGGGCCCAGCCGCTCCGCGGCATGTGGGATCTTCCCGAAACGGGGCACGAACCCGCGTCTCCTGCATCGGCAGGCGGACTCTCAAGCACCGCGCCACCAGGGAAGCCCAACAGTTTTTTAAATATGACACCAAAAACACAGGCAACAGAAGAAGAAATAGATATAATGGACTTAATCAAAATTAAAATGTTTTGTACTTCAAGACACCATCAAGGAAGTGAAAGGCTAACCCATGAAATGGGAGAAAATATTTGCAAATCATGTATCTGATAAAGCTCTTGTGTCCAGATTATGACCACCTCTTACAACTCAGCAGCAAAAAGACAAACAATCCAATTACAATATGGGCCAAGGACTTATATACACATTTCTCTAAAGAAGATACACAAATGTCCAACACATACATGAGAAGACACTCAACATCACCAGTCATCAGGGAAATGGGAATCAGAACCACAGTGAGGTGCAATCTCACACCTACTAGGATGGTTATCCTAGTAGGGTAAGAAAACAGAAAATAGCAAGTGTTGGCATGGATGTGGAGAAACTGGACCCCCCCCCCCCAACCCCTGCATGGCTGGTGTGATGAAGAATGGTGCAGCTGCTGTGGAAAACAGTTTGGCTGTTCCTCAAAATGTTAAACATAGGAATACCCCATGACCCAGCAATTCCACTTCTAGGTTTATATCCAAAGAGTACTGAAAACACATGTCCACACAAACACTTGTGCAGGGATGTTCAAAGTGGCATTATTGATAAAAGCCTAAAAGTAGAAATAACCCAAATATCTATCAATTGATGAACAGATAAACAAAATGTGGTATATCCACGGAATGGAATATTATTCAGCAACAAAAAGAAATGAAGCACTGATACTCGTTACAATTCAGATGAACCTGGAAAACACGCTAAGTGACAGATGCAGACACAAAAGGTCACCTATTATGCAATTCCACTCAGGCAAAATGTCCAAAATACACAAATCTGTAGAGACAGAAAGCAGGGAGGCATGAATGGGGATGACTGTAATGGATATGGGTTTCATTGGGGGTGAAAAGAATGTTCTAGAATTAGTGGTGATGGTTACATAACATTGTGAGTATACTAAGAATCACTGAACTGTACATTTTGAAATGGTTATGGTAAACTTTAGATTCAATGAATTTTATCTTTAAAACATAGGGCTTCCCTGGTGGCGCAGTGGTTGAGAGTCCGCCTGCCGATGCAGGGGACACGGGTTCGTGCCCCGGTCCGGGAAGATCCCACATGCCGTGGAGCAGCTAGGCCCGTGAGCCATGGCTGCTGAGCCTGAGCGTCCGGAGCCTGTGCTCCACAATGGCAGAGGCCACAACAGTGAGAGGCCCGTGTACCACAAAAAAAAAAAAAAAAAGTTGCTGAATGTTGTATGGAGTTTTCAGAAAAGGGCATATAAGTTAGGCTCATTTGCATCTGTGAAATACTAAAACTATCAGAAATGCCTCCTCTATTTGTTGCCTGAAGCCATGAGAAAGGGTGTGGGGGTCCTGCCCACCAGACCCCTCCCCCTTCCAGGATGCTTGGCAGCCAGAGGGTGCTCTGGAAGGGGAGAAAGCGTGGGGTGTGCAGAGCTGCAGCAACTGGACGCCCCTCTAGGACCCAGTGAGACTGCCCTGGTCACACCACATCCTCATTAAGCACTCCCCCTTAGTTTAGGCCATGGCAGGTGGCCAGTCTACACTGCGCAAGGCACACTGTGCTGCCTTAGACAGCAAGCACCACGCTCAGAGTCTGCAGTCTGAGAAATCATGCAGGTGGAGAGGTCCACCGAGAACACGGGCCGAAACCTGACCTGCGGTCCTCATGGGACCTCTCCTCTGGCCCCATCACCATGCTGGCTGGGCCAACTCCACCCGGGCACTGGTGTCTATCCTGTCCTATCCTCTGACTGTGCCACAAAGCTGCTGGCACCAGCCACCACAGTGTGATCACCAGTCAGCACCATGGGTGCCCCACTGCCCATCACAGCTCAGGCTGCAGGCAGCTGGGGCCCACCCCCAGCTCCTGGCAGACATGATGGAGGCTCCCCATGCTCAGGGCCCCCTCATCCACTCACACCAGGCATCTGCTCCATGGAACAAGCTTCTCAACCTTCTGTACGGGTCATTTCACGTAATCAATACATTCTGAACCAACTTTACATCAGCATCTTGATTTTTAGTTCAACACCTTCATACTGAACAACAACAGCACCTCACAGCTGCCTGCTGAAATGACATGACTGAACCTGGAGCTTCTGTGGAAAGACACCACCCAGATTATTACTATTAGTGAATAATCACTGTTAAAACCGTCAAGTTGGGCTTCCCGGGTGGCGCAGTGGTTGAGAGTCCGCCTGCCGATGCAGGGGACGTGGGTTCCCGCCCCGGTCCGGGAAGATCCCACATGCCGTGGAGCGGCTGGGCCCATGAGCCATGGCCGCTGAGCCTGCGCGTGCAGAGCCTGTGCTCCGCAACGGGAGAGGCCACAACAGTGAGAGGCCCATGTACAGCAAAAAA